TGTGCGACCAAGTAAGTCCAGCCAACCTCATCCCTCATATCTCCAGTTGTCCAGAACCCTAACCACCCATGTCATTCTACCCATGTCATTACAGATAGCTGGAAGGGAAGTCAAGTTGCGGGCAATCGTTGATTCAGGGGCCTGTAGCTGCTTCTTGGACATCAACCTTGCCAAGAACTTAGAAATTCCGCTGCTTCCTAAAAAAACAAAGGCTGGATGTATTAGTGGTAGACTGCACCACCCCTAGTTCAGGACCCGTTACTCAGGAAACCATTCCCATACTAGCGACAATAGATTCCAGCCACCAGGAATTCATCCGTTTCGATGTCCTTGGATCCCTTATGTTCCCAGCCATCCTAGGAATACCTTGGTTGCAAGCCCACAACCCAAAAATCGACTAGCCCAGGAAAGAAATTACTTTCCCATCGAGTTACTGCCTTCAACACTGCAGCAGCTCCACACCCTCAAATGTTCAGCCTACTTCAGATGCCAGTCAATCCATTCCCTCTGCCTTCCACAGTTTCTTGGACGTGTTCGATAAGAAAAAGGCCGACACTTTGCCTTCTCATCGATCCTATGACTGCCCTATTGAACTGCTTCCAGGGGCAGAAATACCGCTTGGATGAATTTTTCCATTGTCCGAACTGGAGCTGGAAGCCGTATGGCAATATATTGATGAGAACCTTGCCAAAGGATTCATCCTCCCTTCTTCCTCCCCTGCCTTGATCTTCTACCTGGACATCTTAATTTTCTCAAACTCTCTGGAAATCCACCGAGACCATGTTAAGAAGGTACTGACTACGCTGAGGACGCATGGCCTGTACGCTAAGGCAGAGAAGTACGAGTTTGAGAAATAGTCTATCCAGGTTCCTGGGGCTCGTCATCTCCACTGAAGGAATCTCCATGGATCCTCAGAAAATCTCCGCCATCTTGGAGTGGCCTGCACCTACTGACAAAAAAGGGGTCCAAAGATTTGTGGGCTTTGCCAACTTTTATTGGAAGTTTATCTAAGGCTTTTCAACCATTATTGCCCCGATTACTCAACTCACCCGCCAGCATGCATGTTTTTTCTGGAGCCTGGAAGCACAAATAGCCTTTGAGCAACTAAAGAAGCAATTTACATCGGCTCCTGTGTTACAACACCCAGAACCAACACACTTCCCTTCATCCTGGAGGTGGACGCTTCGGAGGTGGCTACAGGAGCCGTGCTCTCGCAGCGCCAAGGTCCAAAGGCCCTGCTCCATCTGGTAGCCTTTTTTTCCAGGAAACTAAGCCAAGCGGAAAAGCACTATGACGTAGGCGATAGGGAACTTCTGGCGATCAAAACGGCCTTTGAAGAATGGAGGTATTTTGGAAGGAGCTAGTTACCCAATTATGATGTTCACAGATCATAAGGATCTAGAATATTTAAGATCTCCAGATTCAATTTTCATATAACCAAACACCCAGGAACCAAGAAAGGGAAGACAGAAGCTCTATCCCGTATGTTCCCAGATTCGGTTGAACCTTCGCCCCCTGACACCATCCTGTCTGCCCAAAAATTGTTTGCTAATCCAACCCAGTCTAAGATTATCGATTGAACAGGCCTCGGCATGCTACACCAAACCCACACCAGACTCGTTAAGGAGGTAGAATGGCTTTCTGTGGCGCCAGGATAAGATCTTTGTACCTCAAGAGGTAAGATCCCAGGTTTTCAGAACATTCCACCACGACCATCAACTTGCTGGACACTTCGGGGCCCGTAAAACTATGGAACTAATCCAACGGTCCTTTTGGTGGCCTAACTTAAGTCAGGACTGCAGAGCCTAAGTAAAATCCTGCACGGTGTGCCTATGCAGCAAGGGAGACAAAACCAAGGCATGGGGGCTACTGAGACATCTGCCCATTCCTAATCACCCCTGGGAAATGATTGCAAGGGACTTCATTGTGGACTTGCCCCTCTGAGGGGTTTACTACCATCCTAGTGGTGACAGATAGGCTATCCAAAATGGCCCATTTCCTGCCAATGATAGGTACCCCCGTCTGCGCCTGAGACAGCACATGCCTTTATCAAGGAGATTGTGAGGCTTCACAGACTACCCAGCAATATTGTTTCTGACCAAGGGGTGCAATTTACCTCCAGGTTCTGGAGAGCCCTGTGCAAAACCCTGAAAGTGGAACTCTGCCTATCATCTGCTTACCACCCTCAAAGTAATGGCCAAACAGAGCGGACGAACCAAACTTTAGAACAATATCTTCGATGTTTCTCCACTGAATCCCAGGATGACTGGACGTCCCTGCTTCTGTTGGCAGAATTTGCCTACAACAATTCTATCAATTCTGCTACGAATCAGTTGCCATTCTGGGCTAATTATGGATTCCACTCTTCCTGCCTTCCGGATACAATACTCGAAGCCTCAGTACTAGGGGCGGACTGACAACTCATGGGGCCCCCAGGCAATAGAGGATCATGGGGCCCCTGTGTCCTTGCCCAAACTCTAAAAAGCCTATGAAAAAGGTACCAGGGGCATCTCATGGGGCCCCCTACTGAGCCCAGGCCCTCGGGCAGTGCCCAAGTTTCCAAATGGTCAGTCTGCCCCTGCTCAGTACCCGCAGTACAGGACAGACTTATCAGGAAACAGGACAACTATCGAGCTCTCCAAGAGTCCATACAATGATCGCAAACAGACTATAAAAAGTACTATGACAAGAAACGAAAGGGAAATCCTGCTCTAAAGGTCGGAGACAAGGTTTGGTTATCAACAGCCAACTTACATCTTCCTTGCCCATTACGAAAATTGGGTCCAAGATACATTGGCCCCTTCCAAATCAAATGAGAAATCAACCCAGTAGCATATGAACTATCCCTTCCCGAATCATACAGGATTCATCCAGTCTTCCATGGCTCCCTGCTCAAGCCAGCTGTTCATGACCCGATAAAATAAACTTATATATAAATATATATATAAAATCGAGCGCAGTATGAGGATGTAGATAGGGTAGCTGCTGGCACTGAAAGGCACCTCGTGAACCTCCAGAGTAATGGTAAAATATGAAAGTGCAGCGCTAACTTAAACCATGATTACACATAAGATAGATCCCATATGAATGTGGATCGGCAAAAAAGACGGCGTCAGTTCATCAGATGTACTAAATACGTATACAGTCTCCAACACTTGAAGAGCTAGATGTCATCGGTTCCAGGAGAAGCTGTATCACGGATCCAGGGATGTCACTGCAGATGTGTTCTTGTTAGGCACAATCCCAGGACCTAAAGCCTGTAAATCCAGTAAATCCTGGGATTGTGCCTAACAAGAACACATCTGCAGTGACATCCCTGGATCCGTGATACAGCTTCTCCTGGAACCGATGACATCTAGTGGTCACCCTACAGACAACACCCACCTGATCCATCAACACAGTGGCTGGACACAGCTTCCATCCGGACAGATGACATCTAGTGGTCACCCTACAGATGACACCGCCTTGCTCCAGTGATACAGTGGCTGAGTACCAGGGACAGGTCTTAAATGTCCCATGCGCTTTAACTTGCGCTATCTGGTCAGTGCATTACTTGGCTTTTCTTTATCATTGCTGATATCTACTATCCCTGGCTCTTCAAGTGTTGGAGACTGTATACGTATTTAGTACATCTGATGAACTGACGCCGTCTTTTTTGCCGATCCACATTCATATGGGATCTATCTTATGTGTAATCATGGTTTAAGTTAGCGCTGCACTTTCATATTTTACCACAGCTGTTCATGACCCATTTCCAGGAAGACTGGAACCACCTCCACCGCAAATAACAGTTGGGGAGGAGGCAGAATACAAGGTAGAATCAATCCTGGACTGCAGGAAACGGGGAAGACAAATCCAATTCCTGGTTAAATTGAAGGGGTTCTACCTGAAGAAAGCTCTTGAGAACCAAAGGACAACGTGCATGCCCCCAGACTTCTCCAAGAATTCTATTCCAAATACCCAGACAAGGCGACCCAAGTAGGCATCCAGAGACTGTCCTTTGGGGGGGGGGGCACTGTCAGGGCTCTGTCCTCGGCAGAGGTGTTAGGAGACCTGGCACCTCTGCCAGTACCTTGCATGGCCGCAGAAGTTCACATTGGCTCAAATTTGGCGCCAAACAGCCTTTATAAGGAAGCCCTGCACTACTCTCAGGTGCTGGTTGATCTCTGGCTCCCTAGTACCTTTGTTCCCTTGCTATCCTGACTTGTGATTTCCTGTTAATGACTCAGTTTGCTCCTGGACCTGTCTGCTCTGTTTAACTTTGACCTAACCCCGGCTTGTCTAATGGATCTTCTCTCCTGCTCTCTGTGTATGACCTCAGCTATCCCTTTTGACTACGTCTGCTCTGATCCCCATCTGGCACTCGACCTTGTTTGAACTGGTTATCCTGTGATCCTCTGTTCTCTGGAAGACCTGCATACCTCGTACAGGTGCTCCCTGCCTGCAGACCCCCCCTGCCTTCTCACTGAGGACGATGCGGCCAGCTCAGCAGACTTCACACCTGTTATCTGTGTGGCTCAGTGTGGGGAGAGAACGAGTGGCGGGTGCCAGCCTGATACCTGGTGCAGGGTCCACAGTGCAGGAAGCAGAGGTCCATCACCAGTGTCCCGTTGGCAGGGGACTGGCACCATGGAGAGAAGGATCCGACTGGCAGCTTGTGCAGCTTTCTCTGCTCCTCATAGTGCCTGGCGTGGGAGCAGGAGAGCTTCAGAAAGGCAGGTAGTGCTGGCGTCATCAGTGGGTGCCTGCGGGGCTCTGTGGCTGTGAGTGGCAGTGGTGAGCCTGCAGGTAGAGATGAGCGAAGTATTCAAAAATTCGATTCGGCTGATTCGGCGAATTCGCGGAATAAATTCGATTCGAGTCGAATATATTCGCTGCGAATTTAACTTATAAAAAGGGTGTTTCTAGGCTTCAGAGAGCCTTTATATTAGTGCAGAACACTGTACCTTTAATTTAAATGCCCTTGGAATCTGCTGGGGAAGAGAAATAATACTGTCAGTCAGTATGACATGCAGATGAGTGCCGTCGATCTTAGAATCACCGCACACTTCACTCATTTGGGCAGTCACGGGGCCAAAACCAGAGTGTGGAGCCACAGTGTGGCGGTGGAGGCAGCAGCAATGGGAGGCCATACAGCACCCTATGAAAAAATGGAACCCACCAGCAGTGTGAGGAGACCTGAAAGTGGCACATGGCAGAGTGTGGCGATGGAGACAGCAGCAATGGGAGGCCGTACAGGGACCCATGACACACTCTGGACCTGGCAGCAGCATGAGGAGGCGGGTACAGGGGCCCATGACAGATTACGGGCCTGGCAGCAGCATGAGGAGTCGGTACGGGGGCCCATGGCAGATTACGGGCCTGGCAGCAGCAATGGGAGGGAGGCCGTACAGGGACACCATGACACACTCTGGACCTGGGCATGGCAGCATGAGGAGGCGGTACAGCAATGGGGGCCCATGACAGATTACGGGGCCTGGCAGCAGCATGAGGAGTCGGTACGGGGGCCCATGGCAGATTACGGGCCTGGCAGCAGCAATGGGAGGCCCGTAATCTGCCAGCACCCTATGACAAAATGGAACCCACCAGCAGTGTGAGGAGACCTGAAAGTGGCACATGGCAGAGTGTGGCGATGGAGACAGCAGCAATGGGAGGCCGTACAGGGACCCATGACACACTCTGGACCTGGCAGCAGCATGAGGAGGCGGTACAGGGGCCCATGACAGATTACGGGCCTGGCAGCAGCATGAGGAGTCGGTACGGGGGCCCATGGCAGATTACGGGCCTGGCAGCAGCAATGGGAGGCCCGTAATCTGCCAGCACCCTATGACAAAATGGCCCACCAGCAGTGTGAGGAGACCTGAAAGTGGCACATGGCAGAGTGTGGCGATGGAGACAGCAGCAATGGGAGGCCGTACAGGGACCCATGACACACTCTGGACCTGGCAGCAGCATGAGGAGGAGGCGGTACAGGGGCCCATGACAGATTACGGGCCTGGCAGCAGCATGAGAGTCGGTACGGGGGCCCATGGCAGATTACGGGCCTGGCAGCAGCAATGGGAGGCCCGTAATCTGCCAGCACCCTATGACAAAATGGAACCCACCAGCAGTGTGAGGAGACCTGAAAGTGGCACATGGCAGAGTGTGGCGATGGAGACAGCAGCAATGGGAGGCCGTACAGGGACCCATGACACACTCTGGACCTGGCAGCAGCATGAGGAGAGGCGGTACAGGGGCCCATGACAGATTACGGGCCTGGCAGCAGCATGGGAGGCCCGGAGTCGGACAAACGGGGGCCCATGGCAGATTACGGGCCTGGCAGCAGCAATGGGGAGCCGTACAGGGCACCCATGACACACTCTGGAAATGGGCAGCAGCATGAGGAGGCGGTACAGGGGCCCATGACAGATTGTGGCCTGGCAGCAGCATGAGGAGGCGGTACGGGGGCCCATGGCAGATTACGGGCCTGGCAGCAGCAATGGGAGGCCCGTAATCTGCCAGCACCCTATGACAAAATGGAACCCACCAGCAGTGTGAGGAGACCTGAAAGTGGCACATGGCAGAGTGTGGCGATGGAGACAGCAATGGGAGGCCGTACAGGGACCCATGGACACTCTGGACCTGGCAGCAGCATGAGGAGGCGGTACAGGGGCCCATGACAGATTACGGGCCTGGCAGCAGCATGAGGAGTCGGTACAGGGGCCCATGGCAGATTACGGGCCTGGCAGCAGCAATGGGAGGCCCGTAATCTGCCAGCACCCTATGACAAAATGGAACCCACCAGCAGTGTGAGGAGACCTGAAAGTGGCACATGGCAGAGTGTGGCGATGGAGACAGCAGCAATGGGAGGCCGTACAGGGACCCATGACACACTCTGGACCTGGCACAGCATGAGGGCGGTACAGGGGCCCATGACAGATTACGGGCCTGGCAGCAGCATGAGGAGTCGGTACGGGGGCCCATGGCAGATTACGGGCCTGGCAGCAGCAATGGGAGGCCCGTAATCTGCCAGCACCCTATGACACAAAATGGAACCCACCAGCAGTGTAGAGGAGACCTGAAAGTGGCACATGGCAGAGTGTGGCGATGGAGACAGCAGCAGCAATGGGAGGCCGTACAGGGACCCATGACACACTCTGGACCTGGCAGCAGCATGAGGAGGCGGTACAGGGGCCCATGACAGATTATGCAGCAGTCGGTACGGGGGCCCATGGCAGATTACGGGCCTGGCAGCAGCAATGGGAGGCCCGTAATCTGCCAGCCAGCACCCTATGACAAAATGGAACCCCACCAGCAGTGTGAGGAGACCTGAAAGTGGCACATGGCAGAGTGTGGCGATGGAGAGACAGCAGCAATGGGAGGCCGTACAGGGACCCATGACACACTCTGGACCTGGCAGCAGCATGAGGAGGCGGTACAGGGGCCCATGACAGATTACGGGCCTGGCAGCAGCATGAGGAGTCGGTACGGGGGCCCATGGCAGATTACGGGCCTGGCAGCAGCAATGGGAGGCCCGTAATCTGCCAGCACCCCATGACAAAATGGAACACCACCAGCAGTGTGAGGAGACCTGAAAGTGGCACATGGCAGAGTGTGGCGATGGAGACAGCAGCAATGGGAGGCCGTACAGGGACCCATGACACACTCTGGACCTGCAGCAGCAGCATGGAGGCCCGGACAGATTGGGGCCAGGGCAGCACCATGACAGGGGCCCATGGCAGATTACGGGCCTGGCAGCAGCAATGGGAGGCCCCATGGCTGCCAGCACCCTATGATGGAACACACCAGCATGGGAGGCACATGGTAACAGTGACCCATGGAGACACAGCAATTGGACCCATACCGGCCCATGGCAGATTACCCTGGCAGCAGCCCCCCCCCCCCCCCCCCCCCCCCCCCATGGAACCCCCCACCCAACGGGCCTGGCAGCACAATGGGAGGCCCGTAACTGCCAGCACCCTATGACAAAATGGAACACACCTGGCAGCAGTGTGAGGAGGCTGAAAGTGGCACATGGCAGATGACACGATGGAGACCTGGCAGCAGCAATGGGAGGCCGTACAGGGGGCCCATGAGACAGATGGACCTGGCAGCAGCATGAGGAGGCGGTACGGGGGCCCATGGCAGATTACGGGCCTGGCAGCAGCAATGGGAGGCCCGTAATCTGCCAGCACCCTATGACAAAATGGAACCCACCAGCAGTGTGAGGAGACCTGAAAGTGGCACATGGCAGAGTGTGGCGATGGAGACAGCAGCAATGGGAGGCCGTACAGGGACCCATGACACACTCTGGACCTGGCAGCAGCATGAGGAGGCGGTACAGGGGCCCATGACAGATTACGGGCCTGGCAGCAGCATGAGGAATCGGTACGGGGGCCCATGGCAGATTACGGGCCTGGCAGCAGCAATGGGAGGCCGTACTGCCAGCACCCTATGACAAAATGGAACCCACCAGCAGTGTGAGGAGACCTGAAAGTGGCACATGGCAGAGTGTGGCGATGGAGACAGCAGCAATGGGAGGCCGTACAGGGACCCATGACACACTCTGGACCTGGCAGCAGCATGAGGAGGCGGTACAGGGGCCCATGACAGATTACGGGCCTGGCAGCAGCATGGCAGCAGCATGAGGAGTCGGTACGGGGGCCCATGGCAGATTACGGGCCTGGCAGCAGCAATGGGAGGCCCGTAACTGCCAGCACCCTATGACAAAATGGAACCCACCAGCAGTGTGAGGAGACCTGAAAGTGGCATGGCAGCAGCAGTGTGGCAATGGAGACAGCAGCAATGGAGGCCGTACAGGGACCCATGACACACTCTGGACCTGGCAGCAGCATGAGGAGGCGGTACAGGGGCCCATGACAGATTACGGGCCTGGCAGCAGCATGAGGAGTCGGTACGGGGGCCCATGGCAGATTACGGGCCTGGCAGCAGATGGGAGGCCCGTAATCTGCCAGCACCCTATGACAAAATGGAACCCACCAGCAGTGTGAGGAGACCTGAAAGTGGCACATGGCAGAGTGTGGCGATGGAGACAGCAGCAATGGGAGGCCGTACAGGGACCCATGACACACTCTGGACCTGGCAGCAGCAAGAGGAGGCGGTACAGGGGCCCATGGCAGAGTGGCGAAGCGTAAGCAGCTTAAATTGAAGGCCATGACAACAGAGGCCTATGTTAAAAATAATAACATGTTTGGGGCATGATTCATGGCGGATTTAGTCAGTTGTGTCAGGAACTGGTGGTTTGAAATCCAGACTAATCCACGCCTGATTCATTTTCACAAACGTGAGTCTCTCCACACTTTGGGTGGACAGTCGTGTCCTCCGCGGAGTTACAATACCTCCTGCCGCACTAAACACGCGCTCCGATGCCACGCTACTGGCCGGGCATGACAGCCTTTCAAGGGCAAATTCAGCTAGTTGGGGCCAAAGGTCAAGTTTCGTTGCCCAGTAGTCAAGGGGATTGTCTACCTCGGTTGGCAGGGTGCTGTCCAAGTAGGCCCAAGCCTGTTGTTTGAGGTCCTGCTCCAGGTCCACCTGATGCTGCTGCTGCTGCGGCTGGTTAGTAGTTTCCTCACTGCGCTGGTGAAGAAAGCTACTCATCATCGACTGCAGACTGAGGCAGCCGCTGCTGGTGGAGCTGCCACTGCTCCTACCACCCCACCCCTCCCCTGCTGCCATGGCAGCGGAACGCGAGCGCACAGGGCCCACAGTGTCTGAGGATGGACGTTGGCGCAGAAAGGCAGAGACCAACTGACTACATAGGTGGTTTTTATAGTACGTTATTTTGGCCTCCCTCTCAGCAGGTGTGTGAAAAAGGCCACCATTTTTGAACGGTAGCGAGGGTCCAACAAGGTGGACAGCCAAAAGTCATCCCTCTGTCTGATGGTTATATTCGGCTGTCGCTACGCAAGCAACCGAGCATGCTATGGGCCATTTGTGCCAAGGAATGCGAGGGACTCCCTGCCTCCATCTCCACAGCATACTGCCACGGTGCGTCTGGGTCCTCTGTCTCCTCCTCCTCCTCTACCAGATGCTCCTGCTCCTCCACTCCTGTCCGCTGAGTGGAAAAACCACCCATTTCACTCAATAATTCCTGAGCACCAATGTCCTCCTCTACCTCCTCCTCTTCTTCCTGTCCTGCCCCCACAGGGGTCATGTGGCGTTGAGATCTGTGCGCCACGTCTACCGCACCCTGACCAGCCATTGTTAACAGCATTTGTTCCAGGACGTGCAACAGAGGAATGACGTCGTTCATCCCATAGTCCTGCCGACTCACGAATAGCGTGGCCTCCTCAAAGGGCCTGAGCAAGCGGCAGGTGTCACGCATGAGCTGCCAATGGCTGACATCTAAGTTACACAGGGGAGTACCTTTATCCGCTTGTAACATCAGGAAATCGGTGATGGCCTTTCGCTGTTCGTAAAGGCGGTCTAACATATGTAGGGTTGAATTCCACCTTGTTGCAACGTCGCAGATCAGGCGATGCTGTGGAATTCCGTTCTGCCGCTGCAGCTCAAGGAGGGTGTGCTTTGCGGTGTAGGAATGGCTGAAATGCATGCAAAGTTTACGTGACATTTTAAGGATGTCTTGCAGTGGGATGGTGGGATTTTAGGAACCGCTTGACAACCAGATTGAACACGTGAGCCATGCATGGCGCATGGCACAACCTTCCTTGACGCAGAGCAGACACCATGTTCTTTCCGTTGTCGGTCAACATGGTTCCGATTTTCAGTTTGCGCGGAGACAGCCATCTGTCGATTTCTCTGTTCATTACACTCAGAAGTTCCTCCCCTGTGTGACTACGTTCGCCAAGGCATACCAGGTGCAGCACAGCGTGACACCGTTTGCGCCCTGCACATGTGATATGCCGGTCGGGTAATGGGACTTGGCACGGGGGTGGCGGCTGAGGACACGGCGGAAGAAGAGGTGGTAGAGGCGGACATCTTTGCTGGACCAAGGACGTGCAAACGTGGAGGCAAAAGCGGCGTGACCTGTCCAAGTTGCTGGTGCGGCTGTGCCGGCACCACGTTCACCCAGTGGGCCGTAAATGACATGTACTGTCCCTGACCGTAGTTACAGCTCCACACGTCGGCGCTGCCGTGCACTTTGGCAGAGACCGACATGCTCAAAGACTGGCCCACCATCTCTTCTACATGTGAATGCAGGGCTGGCACTGCCTTTTTTGGCGAAGAAATGCCGGCTTGGCACTCTCCACCGCGGCTCGGCACAAGCCATCATTTCTCGGAAAGGTGCTGAGTCCACCACTTTGGAAAGGGAGGGACTGCAGCACCAGCAACTTGGACAGGAGGACGTTCAGCTTCTGCACCGTCGGGTGCGTGCTCGCAAACTGTTGTCTCTTGGAAACGGATTCCAAGAAAGACTGCTGACGGAATCCGTGAAGAGGAGTAGCAGGAGAAGGAGCATCTGAACGAGCGGAAGATGCCAACGAGCGACAACTCCCCTCAGCAGAGGTGTTGGAGCCTTGACTGGCTGATAGAGGGCGATTGACGTCGGGTGACGGAGCAAGTAACGGAGCGGGTGATGGAGCGGGGGCTGGGGCAGGCAGAACCGCCGTATCTTTATCACGGTTTTCCCAGGCCACCGAATGGCGACGCTGCATATGCTGACGCAACGCTGTAGTCCCAACATGGGCCCCCTGGCCACGCTTGACTTTCTGGCCACATAGTCGACATACGGCTACGTTTACTTCCTCGGGCGGCTTGACGAAAAATTGCCACACCGCCGACCGCCGAGTAGGAAACTTTGCCCCCGCTACTCCTCACTGGCTGACTGCTACTTCCTCCGTGCACACCGGCACCACTACTGGCCGTGGTGGTAGGCTGCAGTGGAGCTGGTGCTCTACTCCGTGGCCGTTTGCCTCCACTGACACTGCTGCGACCCTGCTGCCTCCTGGGCAACCCACCGACTGTTTTGCTCGCTGCCAAGCTGGCACCCTCTTCTCCTGATGATGCGGAAGCAATAGCCTGATGACGACGAGGCTGCCAAGTGCGATCAGCCTCATCATCATCAATTAGGGTCTCCGCCTCACACTACTAGCCCCCTCGGCTGCGTGTGGGTCAGGAGACAGACCTGTCTCTAGACCGGCTACCGAGCCACTCTCCTCGCCAGTACTTCTTCGCCTGGCTGCTGAAGAGGCGGATGTCTCCCCCCCGTTCCTGACCGCCCTCTGTTAGCTCTTCCTCACTGTACAGTGGGGCTGAGCCCACAGCATGCGATACTTCGCTTGGTGAGGGAACACCAAAGGACAGGGGCAGGTAGAGGACACGTGATTTCAGTGGGCTTGCTCCCGGGCCATGCCAACTAACGGTTGTGTCTGACGTACCCACCGACCGTTGGCTGTAGGTGTCAGAGGTGACCTGGGAAGAGGAAGACGACCGAGCCAACCAATCGATGACGGCAGGGTTGTCGGTGGAGACACGACCGCTGGATGACACCGGGAGCACTGGCCTCTGGCTGCGACTAGTGCTGCCTCGACCCCTTCCTCTGCTGCCACGTCTGCTCGCTCCTGAAACATTGCCTCCTCTGCCACTCCTCTGCGTGTTGTCTGACATACTCTTTAATTCAACGATTCTGTGTCCCTGAGTAACAATTCTGTGTCCCTGAGTAACAATTCTGTGTCCCTGTCCCTGAGTAACAATTCTGTGTCCCTGAGTAACAATTCTGTGTCCCTGAGTAACAATTCTGTGTCCCTGAGTAACAATTCTGTGTCCCTGAGTAACGATTCTGTGTCCCTCAGTAACAATTCTGTGTCCCCCCTGAGTAACAATTCTGTGTCCCTGAGTAACGATTCTGTGTCCCTGAGTAACGATTCTGTGTCCCTGAGTAAACGATTTCTGTGTCCCTGAGTAACAATTCTGTGTCCCTGAGTAACAATTCTGTGTCCCTGAGTAACAATTCTCTGTGTCCCTGAGTAACGATTCTGTGTCCCTGAGTAACAATTCTGTGTCCCTGAGTAACAATTCTGTGTCCCTGAGTAACGATTCTGTGTCCCTGAGTAACAATTCTGTGTCCCTGAGTAACGATTCTGTGTCCCTGAGTAACAATTCTGTGTGTCCCTGAGTAACAATTCTGTGTCCCTGAGTAACAATTCTGTGTCCCTGAGTAACAATTCTGTGTCCCTGAGTAACAATTCTGTGTCCCTGAGTAACAATTCTGTGTCCCTGAGTAACAATTCTGTGTCCCTGAGTAACAATTCTGTGTCCCTGAGTAACAATTCTGTGTCCCTGAGTAACAATTCTGTGTCCCTGAGTAACGATTCTGTGCCCCCTCAGTAACAATTCTGTGTCCCTGA